CCCGTAGATCCATCCGTTTGGGAGTTATTGGCAAAAAACGAAAATTTCGAAGAAATTGAAGGGGTACCCCTTGGAAAAATCTCGGAAAAATAAAAAAATTTTTTTTTGTCAAAATATCGAAAAATATCGAAATATGTTCTAAAAATCGTCAAAAATTCCATACTTTTTAGGCTAAAAAACAGCAGTTATTAACTTCGGTCACGTATTAACTTCCTAATGTCTCACTTAATCTTTAGCAATGTTTTGTTGCGAGAGCGTGCGATAAAGTGGCAAAAACGAATTTGTTTGGATTTCGATAACCCGAAAAGCAGTCGTTCATCAGGGACTTTTGTAGATTAGGGAGGGAAAAAAAGGAGTGGAAACGTGCGACGTGTAGACAGAGTCTTAAGCCGGGATGATGTCGAGCTAACCCTTTAAGCTTTCCCTCGAGGCGTTACATCAGCCGTGCATTCGCAAACGGAATTCGGTCCACAAGCCTGTGGCCGCTAGACCTTGAACTTTAGAACAGTGGCAGAGAACCACGCAAAAATGCGATTGGGAATCGTACTATATAATCGAAATAAAATCAATAAACAGTTACACAGATTAAATTCTATCGAATCAATCTACCACATATAATATCATGGCACAAAACATTTCTCAACGAAAAAACCAACCATTTAATGAAACACTGTATCAAGCATTGTATAAAATATTTCTACCAATTAATATATCGATCATTAAATGAAACATCATCAACATTACGTTTAACACAAAATATCAATCATGGAAGACTGGATGAATGATTCTATCTTATGAGAGAGTAAATAATCACCTTGAGAATTGGTGGGGTTGTTACCATGGAATGGATTTTCCTTCGACAGAGCGATGTGCAGCAGCATAATCCCATAAAAAGCTCGGCACTAGTTTTTCGAGGACGGTGCCGCTTGATCAACCCCTGTGATACTGCGGGCCACGATTGACACCGGTCTTGTAATCGAATTTACGGCTTCCGGCCTTGCGTAAGTGCTCACTGACACACCGATCCATCCCCCCAGCAATGTACAGAGACTTTAGGGGATGCCTAGCCCCTGCGGTAAACCCGTTATCGTATATACCCTGTATGTACCTTAGTACGATCGCCGACTTTCGATTAAAATCATACATTTATTTCTTGTCTTCAATAGAGGATTAATTAACGTCGTTAAAAAGGAAGTTGTTACCATAGATCGTGGACCGTCGAATTATGCATTTAATCGTTTCGAGGGTCGATTAATTAAATTATTGACATAGGAAAGATTAGATTTTGTCAGAAATGAGAAATTGTACACTAGCCCGTTTCCCGAGCTAATGCGAAGGAAATGGAATCTTGAAAAGTTGGAGTACCAGATTTGGCCTGACTAATGAAAGTTCGATTCGAGCTATATTCCGAGCCAATTTTGACTTTCATCGGAAGCGAGCATCGATGAGGCCATTACGACATTCAATAAATAAATAATTTTATTAATACGATTATCAATTTATAATAACCAACATACTCGTATTAAACTACCATTGTTAACGTTCGCCTATTTTCAATTAAATTACAAAATTGAACAGGGCACGACTTAATTTTAATTAATATTAGGGAACGTGGCTGGTAATTGCTCTCGTCGGCTAGGAGAGACGACACGAGCCGTTTATGAATATCGATTTCCGTTGATGGAACTCGGACAGAAATTCCAAAGTCAACGTGTCTCGTGTCAACAGGGGCGACAATGCTTACTTCGCTTACCGGCTCAATTTACGCGGTGCAAAATGCATTTCACTCGATCTTTGCGTTCATGCATGTACACGAAATATGAATTACTCTACAGCAATTAATATATCAAATATTGTGTCAATCACGATATGAAAGACTACACGAATTATTATATCAATCGTTCCATCATTCACGATTGCATGAAGTATTATTATTATAATATTTTTGTACGACAAAAGTATTGACTGATTTGAAGCAGGATGATGATTCGCCTACGTAAAATAATTTTCTCGTGATTCAGACTGTACGTACGGAAAAGATCAGAATCGTCGTCCAATATAATCAACGCGCATCTGGATTCAATTCCACGAACTTATGCAACGTGAATGGACAAACCTTGTCTCTTCCATCATCTTGAACGTATCCGACTGGTATCAAAGAATCGAACGAAAACAAACACAAAACTTATATTGAGAATGGACAGATGTTCCATCGAACTCTACTCACGACGTACAATTCCACGTGAAATTTCAATAGTCATCATTATTTCGTGGCTGTTACTAAAGTAAAAAGGAGCAAAAGGAATGGTTCGTAATTTTCCTAATACTGACCTGACGCTTATCAATGTGATACTTCCAGAATATGTATGGTCGATAATGGCCGGAATGGTATGATATTAGAAATGTTTCAATTACACTTTAAATACAAAATTACCTGTTGTTATCCATTGTACTGTATGATTAAAAATGTTCATATCTAAAGAATACACGTACTTTCAAACTGAAAGCTTAATTATGAAAATACATATAATGATACTTAATTGATTAAAGGAATTCCTATGAAAATTTGTTAACTCGACACCATAAATGTTTTATTTTGTTGTCTAATTATCACTGTAGCAAGCTTTCAGCTTGTACACCGGAGGATGGAATTGAAAAGCGGGACAAGCTCGTGCCAGCTGATTGGCCTGATTGCCGTCGGTCTAAGGTCAACAACCATTTAACATGAGACGCAGTGTCTAACGAATCGCACAACACCTAG